TTTTGTTTTGATCAGGCCATACAAAGCTGTATGTATGTGACTACAATGGTGAACCTGGCGTTATATGGCGCTGGTATTGTTGTTATTATTATTTTTTTGCGGGAGCTTCAAGAAAATGCATGCTCTATATTGTTTTTGTAATAAAGCACAAGAAAACAAATTGTAAAACCGTGCCTTGGTGTTCAAAGTGTTTGTTTTTATGTAAATTAACTAAAGACAAACATCACGCAAGTAATTGCGATCACTGAGTATCGGCATCTCTGGCTTTCAATACCCGAACACTTCATTGTTTTCTGCAATAAGGGACCGGCAGAGGCTCCCTCATTTTTTCAATCTCAAAGTCCTAATTAGTGTATTTGTTCAAAAATTCAAACCCAAAGCCATCAAACAGAGAGCAAAGCCAAGCTCTGTCAGTTGTTTGGAGAATAATGACCAATATGACCGTACTACGGTTCGGGTTCAATGTGTACTTTGTGGGGACCCTCTCCCTGGCTCCCCCGCGCTCCGTGACCTTCCCGGTCCCCGCCGCCGTATTGTCGGGCGCTCCTTCGTTCCCTGTGACCTTCCCGTTTCCAGTCGCCGTCCTGTCGCGGAACGTCCGAGCTCTCCGGGAGGAACGGGGCAAGCGCCCCCTCACCCAGCGCTGACGTCGGAGGGTCGGCTCGCAGCAAGGTTCCCGATTGGACGGTCGGCGGGACAAGGACTTGGGAAGGTCTTAAAAGGGGGAACGGAGACAAAGGAAGAGGGCTTGGGCTGCCGACTTCACAAGGGACCGGTCACGGAGGCGAGCTCGGACGGCGCTGGACGCTGGCCCAGGGAGTGCGGGCACTACGTCGAGTGGCAGACTCGACAAGCGGACCGGACAGCGACCCTGGGCGACGATGTCCCCATGACGCGGTGTGGACGACCACCGCTGGGACTCGGAGAAGCTGCTGTGGCAGCGGGCTCTCCCGCGGCCTCGCTGATGACCGTCCCCCGATCCCGAAACCCCCCAAGGCAATGAGTGAGTGAATAAACCCTTTTGCCGAGAGCGAAGCATTGCAGTGTCATATTCATCCGGGGACAGGGTCTGTGGGAATCGGAGCTAGAAAATGCCCGCATAAACTGGCGCCGCAACGTGGGGCCTGATTTTTGATCAGGCAGGCATTCCGACTCCTAACCTGTTTCCGGTTGAATTGGGGCATTGTTTCGCGCTCTTTTTGGGTGTCATCTTTGTCGCGGGAGCGCCGCACGAAGTTTCGTTGCGGGAGCGCCGCACGGAGGCCCTGACATTATCGCCTGTCTGACTAGGAGGCGCGGATTTTGACCGCTGTTTTAAGGGATTAACCCTTTTGCCCAGCAGGTCCGGAATTCACTTATCCCCGTTGCGAGACGCTCCATGAGTATTTGCTGTTCAGCGCCCGGTTAGATGCTGGCAGGTTGATCCTGCTGAGCAAGAGCGCTCTGTGCGTCGAAATTACCGCACCCCTCGAGGCCTGTAGCGTCGGGCGTCCCCCCACCTACGCCTCCGGCCGTCCATGTCTGCTGGAAAGATGCCGGCTCACGGTTTGGGAGATGTGACGCGCCTAACCGCCTTTGTTCGCGTATCGATGTAATGGTTTGTAACGCTTGTTACTGATCGGACGCGTTAAAGAGGCATCGCTTTGGGTGGAGAACGCTCCCATTGCGGATGGCGGTTGCATGGACTGTGTTTGGAAATTATTCCCGCATTGCATTTTGTCCGGGAGGAGACTAGCGTCTCGGTTTGACCGCATGCTAGCTCCCAGATGGCCTTGCTTGAGCTGTCGGCGCAGTTTTGAGCATCGTTAGTTGACAGCGTTTTAAGGTACGGATACGCTCTTGTGGTTCCGACCAAGATCGCTTTGAACGAGTACCTTGTGGCCAGAGGCTACATTTAGGGGCTCAGCCCACTAAATCGTGCCGGGTACGCGATGTCCGGTGCGTGGGCATCGGAATCCCGAAAACCACAGAGTTTCCGTTTTCACTTTATCAGTGGCTGTGCGTGTGTAATGCTCTGTGGAGTCCAGTCTGACGCGATGGGCATGACCCGTGCGTTTCTGGTTGTAGAGTCGTGAGGTTGATTCCGTTTAATTGCGCGCACAGTTGGTTCCGGATCCTCACACCGCCATATCGAGGGTTGAGCCTTGCGGCGGGAGTTACTCTTTCATTTCGTTTTCTCCGTCTCCGGAGGAGCGGCAGCAAGCGCGCGCTTTGCGCTGCCGCCGGATACAGTAGCCGTGCTTTGGTGCGCGTTGGGACGCGAGGGCGTAGAGAGCGTAATTGGTCGTGCAGAGGCCTGGATTAGAGATAAATTATAAATTTAGGGGAGAAAAGACAGCTAGGTGAGGAAAGAGCTGGGCTCATGCAGTGAAAACCTGCACGAGGGGAGTGGCGTTCTTGCGATGATGTGACGAGTTGTTCATAGTTTTATCCTGTACAGATGCGCGGTTGGCCCGGGAAAACGTACGGTTCACGTCGGCGGGTACGTGCCCGGGAAGCCTAGAAATTATGGCAGCGGCATGGCCGTCGGCGGCCTATAACTGTTGTGCGTTGGGTCAGCCCGTCGCTGTACAAACTGGAGCCTTTGCATGAATGGGTAGCGGGTGTTGGAATGCGGCGGTAAATGCGGTAGACACTTCGACGCTGCGGTAACTGTTTATGCAGAGCAAATATAGTTTATTAGCTCGTCCATCTCCAAGACTGGCCGGTTAGATTATTTGGCATTTTGGTATCGCGCTCGCTGCGCGGAAGTTGAGAGGTGCGTGTGTGGGATACTTACATTGTTCGAACCCTGCCTGTCCTCACAGTCGCAAGAAGACTTTTCAGTCATGCGGCGTGTTGACTTGGCTGGGGGCGAGCTTTGTGCGTAACCTACTGCGTTTGTGTGTGGACACGTTGCTCGATTCGAGAACGTCGAAGAGTCGCGAGACGCGTTGACGGCGTACCTTTATTGCTCGATCCCGGCCGGCCTTGACATCAGCTGGAAGACTTTTTAGTTATGCGGTGTCGGGGTTTGGCCGGGGAAGAACTCTAACGTGCGTCGATGCGCTTGTCGCGGTTGTCGAGCCCGTGCGGGGTTGGGTGCGGACCGCCGTTACGCGCTCGTCGCTCCTGTTGGGTGGTTACCTCCGAGCGGTGAAGCGGTAACGTCTGGTACATGCCCAGACGTTACGGACATAGCCGTGTAAATAGGCTGTCCAATGAGATCTGCTGTTCGCACGATCAAGGTACTGTTCCCTTTGTACTGGTGTAAGTGGCCGGTACCAGGGAACAACGGCCTCTCAGTAAGGTGATTACCCCTTCTGATGAAGGCGTGCTGCGTAGCTTGGCTGTAGCGTGTTTGTGGCTCGGGTGTCGCGAACGCCGAGTGCATGGGTGCCTGTCTTGGGTGATTGCTACCGTTGCCAGCGTGTTTTTTCGAGTCGCACCTCGCGAACGGGACTGGATTTGTGACCGTTTCTGTTTTACGGAAGGTTATTCTTAGTTTTTGAGGTTTTGTGCGTTCTTCGCGAGTGTGTTGGAGATTAATATTGTTGTCAGAGGTGTGCGGTTCTGACGCTCTGGTAGATTGCTTACTGTTTTAAAAGAATGCGGTTGAGTTTGATAGGAGCAAATGTTGTATAGTGGGCGTATGTACGATTTGAGCATACAATGAGTGCTCATACCTTTTAGTTAAGGAATGGTTTTCCTCTTATGTACCCCTTGAACGTGTAGCGTGACGTTTTTGATGATTGCCTGCCCGTTAGTATTGAAATGAAAAGTTTTGTTTTTATTTCGTGGCATGTCCAACGATCGAAAGATTTTGGTTTCGTCGCGCTGTCTGATCATATAGCGTGCCGCTATTCGTTTTTGCGCGATCCCTGTCTGTTACATTAGGGACGGAAGCGAACTTTAAGTGCCGGCGTGTTGTGTGTGCCGGAGTGCCCGTCCGTGTTGTGAGCTGTGGTGCTCCGGACCAGTTCGTGGACCGTGCTCCGTCGGTCACGAGCTTCCCAGTGAATCAACGTTCACCGCTGACCTGCATGGTTTGATGCCATCATCATCATCGAGGGTGCTCGTCGTCATCGGTGACATTCAGCCGAGCGAGCTCCCTGCCAAGGGTCCTGGGGACCACGCAACCTCAAGCCCCCCGGGGTCCGAGCCTTGAGGGAGGGGAGGTGTGGGGTCCCTCTCCCTGGCTCCCCCGCGCTCCGTGACCTTCCCGGTCCCCGCCGCCTTATTGTCGGGCGCTCCTTCGTTCCCTGTGACCTTCCCGTTTCCAGTCGCCGTCCTGTCGCGGAACGTCCGAGCTCTCCGGGAGGAACGGGGCAAGCGCCCCCTCACCCAGCGCTGACGTCGGAGGGTCGGCTCGCAGCAAGGTTCCCGATTGGACGGTCGGCGGGACAAGGACTTGGGAAGGTCTTAAAAGGGGGAACGGAGACAAAGGAAGAGGGCTTGGGCTGCCGACTTCACAAGGGACCGGTCACGGAGGCGAGCTCGGACGGCGCTGGACGCTGGCGCAGGGAGTGCGGGCACTACGTCGAGTGGCGGACTCGACAAGCGGACCGGACAGCGACCCTGGACGACGATGTTCCCATGACGCGGTGTGGACGACCACCGCTGGGACTCGGAGAAGCTGCTGTGGCAGCGGGCTCTCCCGCGGCCTCGCTGATGACCGTCCCCCGATCCCGAAACCCCCCAAGGCAATGAGTGAGTGAATAAACCCTTTTGCCGAGAGCGAAGCATTGCAGTGTCATATTCATCCGGGGACAGGGTCTGTGGGAATCGGAGCTGGAAGATGCCCGCAACTTCCAAGCGAGATTTTAGAATCCTAACTTTCTGGATTGCCCGTACAATATCCAATATTCGCGCAAGAAATGGTACTACCTGGGAGTCATTCTCGTCTTTTGTTGTGTGAGTATTCTAGGTTCGTTCGTCTCCTCTTTCGCGCAGTTCACGGTTTCACCCTCACTCTGTGATCAACGAATATTGTGCTAATATCGCAATGCATATCAACGTACGCGTTTTTATGCACATTCCTCTTCTACATATTCCCTTGATGGTGACGTCTTTTATCCAGCTGCTCTTTTTCTCTAACTGTAAACACGTAAGAAAAAGGGTTTCAAAACGACGCCAGTGCTGATGCTTTCTATTTTCTGCAATCGCAATAGTGTCATGTACAGGGTTTAATGACGTTAAATAAGCGCATACAAAGATGATGCATTCAAATACATAAACAAAACCTCATTAAGATTACAAACCAATAATCGCAACTTTTGCAAAATACTTCATTAAAAGCATTCGGAAGTCCTATTGGACTTGTTCGAACCTCCCGTTTAAGTACGCTCTTTACAATTGTCATGAACATCATAAGCTGTGAATGATTTTGACATCACCCATTGAAATTGTTCTTTTTTGAATCCAAAACGTTTACTCTTTCTTCGTTTTTTTTAAACTTCGGATTACGTTTGAAACAATTTGACTTCATTCGAACAAATGCTATCCAGAATATATGTGCCCTCATTCTTTGCGCAATAGCTTGCTCGCGGCAGAGGCGGAGCATCTGCTACATGTCACCGACTATAGGACAGTACAGGCGTGAGCGCGCGTAGCCCTGTGGTGTACTTTCTTTTAAATAAATGCAAAGTATTTGAAAGAGTACTTCGAGTCAATCCTCCAAAGGTACCACGCGACGTCAAAAATTCCTGCGACTGTTTTCTTTTTTTCTGCGTGTGTTTGTCTACATGATCTCTGCGCTTTCAATGCTTCACATACTCTATCTTTAGTGTTATGCGTTATGCGAACATGAGAACATTGGAACTACTTCATTATACATCGGTTCAAGAAACAAATGTAGTATTGTAACTGTTATCCACAACGTGCATCGCACATATTTCTAGCTCTTAGGCACTCGCTGTCAGCAAAACAAATCAGGAATTATTAATTTCTAAGAGCGGTTACTACATTATGATCATGTAACGGAAATTTTTATTTTTATTTTTCGTGTCCAACAAGCAGATGGTGCCCAAAGTTTTTTAGCCCTTTATTGCGAACATTGCATTGCACACTATAGTTGAACCGTAATAACATCTTCTTGTTATTACGGTGCACGCGCGCGCACACGCGCGCGTGCATTGGGCACCGCGCGAGTGCGCGCGTGTAATAACAAGCACGCGCGTGCGTGTGCTTGTTATTACGGTGCAAGCGCGCGCGCGCGTGTGTGTGTGTGTGTGTGTGTCTCTCTCTCTCTCTGTGTGCATGCGTGTGTGTGTGTGTGTCATTCATATATGCAGGCTGTTCTTAAATTCTTTATAAATTTGTTTAAAAAAAATCGTCAAACCTACACGAATCCGGCTTGTGTAGGTGAGTTAAACGGTCAGGGGGACATATAAGAGGGTGAGTTGAATAGTCAACTATACTGCGTTCAACCTTAAAGGTGCCCTGTGGAGGTTTCTAAGGTTGCCTAAATATGACGATAACTCACTCTGCTGACTCTAAGCATCCTAGAAATCCCTAAATCATGCCGATACGCGGCCACTTTCCCTACTAAAAAGGAAATCAACGATCGCAACACACCGATTTCATTTCCGGCGATGGGAGAAGTATCCGAAACCAGGACCACTGCTTCCGACCGGTGGAACCGCGGAGTGATATCTCGAATGCGCGCGGCTCATTGCCCATAGAGACCGGACTCTCGAGCTGCCGAGAGCTAACAACCGAGCACATCACTCCCGCAAAAAAAAAAGAAAAAAAAAAAGAAAAAAAAAAAGTTTTTTTTTAGACAATTATTGTAGCATTATGTCACCTCTCCGAAAAAAAAAACACATTTTTTGACTATTCTTACTTGTTTCTATCATCTAGAAATGCATAAACATTTTGTAATAACGTTTGCAATCTCAACAAAATGTTGTGTTTTCATTGGTCACATGCCGTCCTTGGTGCCGGCACAATGTTCCTCCCATCGCCGGAGATAAATTAGATTTTTTACTGCTTTTACAGCGAAGCTGTTTTTGGCTAGGGTTACGTGATTTTTTTGTGTGCGTGACCAAAAACTCTACGCTCGCCCCGCAGCACGCGCCGCACGCGCACGTCTTTCCCGTACAAAAGACTCGAAGTAAATAACCAAATAAAGCGTCAACGCACGTGCAAGATGCCAATACACTCTCAGAAAAAAAGGAGCCAAATGAGCAAAAAAGGGTTCTTTTCGCTAAAAAAGAACCGATTTTTGGGAAGATCCCTATGAAGCGTGCTTTCTCAAGCAAAATCATCCCATGGAAAATAAAAAAAGAAATGCAGAGCTAGTTTCCGGCCTGGAAAGAGCGAAAAGGCTTCTTGTTGCAGCCAGGAAAGAGATAAAGCGATCTTTGGAAAACGAAGGTCGCTTAAACGGGCACTGACACATCAAAATCATATTTTTTTTTTTTTATTATCCGAAGCGATTGAAAACGATGCCGGGACATTACCCTCAAAATTTGAGATTTGGGAATTCAGTATTCGTGAAGTAAAAAAACAATTTCCAAATGCCGAATTCGAAGTTCCCGCGCGATCGGCGCCGGTGCCTTGACGTCAAAAATTGAGGACACCTGAGAGTCCACTTCCTTTCACCACTCCCTGCTGTTGCCATGGCGACCCAAAGCGAGGAGGAAAGGAGCGAGCGCCCGGCGTTGCGGCGGACCGGTTTTGAGCGGTGTCGCCTGTTTTCCGTTGGAGGATACAAATCCAGGAGACGGCACCACAACGAACTCCCGATTTTTGGTATTTCAAAAAGAAGGGCCGTAGTGCGTTCGCAATTGCGTTAAAAAACATGTTTTAGGATTGCCGTAATTAAATGTTATAGAGATGTCGCCTACAAAGCTTCTAAATTTCCTGATTTTTGACGTCACCGATCAAAAGAAGCGAGGATGCGAGAGGCGGGAAAATCAAACGCCAAAAATAAAAAGGCGCGCGCGCGCGCGGGAAAATTTTTTTTCGCGATGCGTTTTTTTTTTTTTTGCGTGTCTATGACTACAACTTGCATCGTTTTAGACAACAAAAATAAATACGACCTTTGGGGTGTCAGTGCCCCTTTAAGTCTTCTTCCGGATAGAGGGACACAATGACCAGGCTCGAAAGGCTTTGCACGCGAGAAATTGGGTGTGCCATTCTGTGGAAACAAAGCTGCCCGTCTGAGCTGTCAAGTCCTTGAAAGCTTAGAGAGGTGGAATGTCGTAGTTATTTACCAAGTCGCGTGCAATTCGAGGCCGAGATAATGTTCGCCTCCGACCACAGATGAAGCAGGCTTCGATGCCTTTGACTCCCGGGCCACCTGCTTCGGGCGGCGGAGAAAAGCTCACCGGAGAAAAGCTCACCGGAGAAAAGCTCACCGGAGATAAGCTCACCGGAGAAAAGCTCACCGCAAAACCGGCAGATGTGGAGAAAAGCTCACCAATATTTTTTTAGCTTAGCTTGATTCTGCGTAAAACGTGGAAATTTAACACAATTCGCATTCGTCACTTCATTAAAAATATCTCCACGTTTTTGTAATATTCTTGAGGTTCATTGGGCATATTTACTCATTCCTCAGAAATTAGAAATCACCCATTCTGTAAATTAATGAAGCCGCAAGTATAAAATCAGAACATCGTACACTGGTAAAAAAGGCAACAATTTATTGACAGCTGAGGGTGCGCCGTCGGTAGCTCTGTCAGATAAAGAGGTTTGTTTTTTGCGAGCTAATATGAATAGCGGTGTGTGAATCGCTTGAGGTCCAAATATTGTGTAGTGCCTAATAGATAAGTAGATGTTTGTTAATGTAATCAGTGTCGGCTACGCTGTATTCTTTATGTTAATTTCACTAACAAAACTTTAGTTGCGAGAACAGGTTCGTCCTGTCTTGTTTGTTGTCTTCACTCCGTCGTCGTCGTTTGAGCAGTTTTCATCATGCATAACGTTTACCAACTCACCCACTTCGCTACCTTACAGAAGACTACTTCGTATATAGGTCGCGGGTAACAACGGTGACAGTGTGCCGCTCTGAAGGTCATGAGTGGCTCACCGTAGAAGGGCACTATCACACAAAGGAAACTTGTGGAAACACCAGCACGAACGGCTAGAAAACGTGCATGTCCGTGGAAGAAAGAAGCCTCGATATCCTATTGACTGTTTTATCCTGTTTTCAAATGTTAAAGGGCCCATGAAACGATTTTTGGGTTGGGATAAATCATTTTAGATTGGGATTTTACTAATAGCACATAGTTCAGTGGACCAAAAGAAAAAAGGTAGAAAGTCAAAAGCCCGACTTTCAGTGCGAAAATTTGAAAACAGAGCGGACTATTTCGTACCTCCTCCCCTTCGCGACCTCTCTGCCTTTTCACTGTGATACATCCGCGGTCCCAAAAGCTCGTCATCGGGTCCAAACTGACGTCACACGCAACCGGACCTCACTTATTCCCTTCACCCCTAAGCTGACATTGTGCTGGAAGCTACGCGCTTGCCGGACCAATCAGCCGCCTCCCTTTCATCACCTGACTTCATTCTCTGCAGCCACATTTGCCACGCTCACGTGGCAAGTGTGGCTGGCCCAACGAGCACGTAGCTTCAACAGCACTGTCAGCTTCGGGATGAACGGGGTGGGGAAAGCAACTTTTGTCTGAATTTTGAACGACGGGCTAATCTTCTAGGGGGACAATGGCTCTGTCCGGCTACATAAACCAGATTCCGAGCGAGAGGGGCCTCTCTTCTTTTCGTCTTCTTTAACTGTTTGGTGGAATGGGCGATTTATGAGTTGAGGAGGAAAGCTACAACAGGAAAAAGTTGGAAAAGCGTTTCATGACCCCTTTAACAAAAGCTTCAAAGAGAATTTCAGGCACCGCGGTGTTGAGCGTGCACTTTTGAATTTTTGGCATTTACACCTTTGATTTTTAGGTTTTAGGCAGTCATCATTACCTTTTTTTAAACTTTTTCCTGTTCTTCAAGTTCACAAACATTTTAGTTAGGCTTTCGTTGCCTAGAGAGTAAGCCACAAAAAACACTGACCCGCGATTATTAATTTGGGAGCAATATACCCATTAAGCTTAACAAATATTACAAAAGAGGACATTTTATTTTTTACAAAGCTG